CTTGATTATAACATTGATGATGTGCGTGTGTGTGTGTACTCGCGTCTAAAGGGATGTGTGCGAGTGTGAGTTTGTGCCATTGTCGGTCGGTTCCCAAATTTTTGACTTGACATTGTAACAAATCTAGAGCCATAGTTCAGTGGTTAGGCCAACAGAAACCACCGTTTTTTTTTTTTTTTTTTCACCTTTTACATTTTGCTTCCCGCTGAGTGACCGGTCCATCTTATTGTTAATAATAAGGATAAAATTTAAATTTAAACCTTAACCATCTCTCTATTCCCCACCTTTCTGGGATTGTTGCCCGTAAGATTAGCATCTCATGAATGAGAAGCTTCTTCTTAAAGTGCATGTCGTGTGTCGTTGGTAGTCACGTCTATCCGCAGCCTTCTGTCTCGTGTACTTTCAGTCAACTGTGAAGCTCCATGCTATGATGTCAGACTATCCAGCATCTGTTCTCTCGGTCTTTCTCTGCCTCTCATCCCCTCCAACTTTCTTGCTGTCAGGATGTACTCCAGTTTCTCCTTCTAATCACATAACTTTCACATATCACTCCTATCGCGTGCCTGATTTAAGGATTTCTCCTTAAAACCAACAGCACTCTGAAATAATTATGTTGAGTCGTTGGCTCGTTTTGGTCTAAAGAATGCCCCGTGGCCAACATACGCTCAACTTATTTCAGGAGTAGGGCAACTCAAGTTTTGGCACTACAAAATATATAATATTCCTAGGCACACTAGGCTGGACACCCCCACTACTATAAAAAGGTAGCCCCCGGGTTATGATAGTCTACTATCATAGCCATGTTAACACAGATAACACTTATTATTCACACAAACATCAAAGCTAGACAGTTAGAATGGTGAAACAGGGACACCCAAGTCAGCCATGAAAATGTATGCATGTAATCAGTACAATATATACATATAATAAAGAATAGATTCTCAAGAATGCATAGTTAAAAGAGTTCAGGAATCAATGTCACAACCCAGATATTGAAGCAGCCAGATATTGTTCCATGAGAGTACATGAGTTCATCATAGGACTGATAAGGTGCTGTGGGAAGAGAGCATGTAATGTGAATAAAAGATCACTTAGCCCAGTTCGTAGGTCAATGCTCCTCTCAGTCCATGGTGATTCGACTGTAGTTGACTTAATCAGTAGTTGGGCCTCGACTTGATCTGGTACAAGCTGACTGTCACAAACGAGGACACAAGAACTGCATAGGAGCCCACCAAAGCTCTTGGAGACTGTGATGCCCGCTGCCGGTCTCACAGGTAATGACACAATAAATGCATAAGAGCCCAACAAAGCTCTTGAAGACTGGTTCTCTGGATTGATGACATAGATGTCTGCAATTGTCCACTGGTCCTGGAACTCCCAAACAAGCTCTTGCCATGTTGAGGTAGTGGCACAATATACAGAACTTTTGGATCTGCTTGGTGCACATAATGGTATAGGTTGGTGGTTGTTGGCTGGACTGTGATTCGTCTGCCTGATCTCAAAGGAGGTATCATCCTGTCAGGAAAGAACTCAGAATTAGTAATCAACCTTATTCACACACAAGCTCTCTCCTACCTCTGCAACCTTTCTCCATTCCTCAGAGTGTAACTCTCAAGAATAGGAGACAATGTCTCCTTTCATTTATCTGTCTGTAAACTAGTGCAACAGATAGAAAACAAGGTATATAGTGGACATAGATAGACACTACCACACATAGATCATCCTCTCTCCACCCTCACATCTGCACTCGCAGACATACAATGTTTACAGTTAGTACCTATATATACATATATATATATATATATATATATATATATATATATATATATATATATATATATATATATATATTTCGTCTCCACAGGCCGTTCACTACACACCTACTGAATCTGTGTCAAACACACCTTTGACTCAGAGCGCCTAGCCCTGACGGCACAGTATTTCACCGGTTAAAGATGACCTAGATTCCTTATTTCTATTATGCAGCACAAAACTTCGTTTGACTGTTCAGAGAATAATTACCTGTAGGGTTTGATGTCTTTACAAATGATGTGGGTTATGTAGAGCACCAACTAATTAGTCTGTACAGGGGAAGGTCTAATGTTCGGAGCCTGATCTCTGGACATTAAGAACGGTCGAACTCTGTGCGATCACACAGCTGACTCTGACTTCTCAGCAGCAGTGGCCAACTTTAAAAAGACATCAATTATGGTACTCGTAAACTATAATCAACTTACCCAAGCTTAGGAAATCTTCCAAGATAGACATGGAACTTTTGATGCGCCAATTTCTACATAGACTGTATACACGTCTTGACACTTTGGGATCAGGCGAAAGAATGTTTTTTCAAAACCAACTTAGCGTCTCTAGGAAAGAAGTTCCCTGTATTCCTGCCCAAAGAGTAAACCGGTTTACAGGAATTTCTAAATAAATTACCAGAAATCATCAACCTACTGTTGCAAGTTTAAAAATTAAGATTTATCAAAGCAACTAGAGGGTCTAGAAATGAATATATTACCAGATAAAGGTATATATCAATATAAGGGACTATATACCCTTCCGGACGGGTTTAAGTTTGAAATTTGACTGAGCGCGAGGGAAGTCAAAGTCGCGACCCTTCCATAGTGTAGGGTTGGCTGCTCACTTCACGACAATAACCAAAGCACGTAGATTGTCTCTTTCTGACGTGGACAATCAGTTTTCTTCGTGATTCAGCTCCTCTCAAGACATCATCATTACTCTTTTTATCTGTTCATGATATTCTCATAATTCGCCTCAAACAGCATATCCACAGCTTATAGAGAATCAGATAGGAGCAAATCTAAGAATTCATGTTTAATTATAGAGCAAATTATGGAACCTTTGTGGTTTCAAAGTAACCTGCAGTCTAAGACGGATGGGAAGTATGCGTATCAGACTTGTTCTTTTTAAACGTATAACCAAAAGGTAGGATAAGTAATTCGTTTGTTAGTTCCAGGATAGAAGTTTTCACGACTTATACATCATGTACAAACCCGGAAAACACCTTTAGTCCCATAACTGTTAATATTGGGGACCCCCCGAACAATTTCTTGGTAACATAATGTTCGAACCAGGAAGGAAGGCTATCTAACGAAATAGTCCTCTAATTTATCATATAAATAATGTCACCCTTCTATTTTTTTTTCAGTCACAAGGGGAAGTAACACCACTTCAAGTTCTACTCAAAGATCGCTACATAATTATTGCATCAGGTGAGTTCTCTAAATCTAAATATTCGAGTCACAAAACATGTAATACTCCTGCAACCGCTTCAGGAACTTTTCTAGCTGTACAGACATGTTAAAGCAATAGCTGGCTATTATTGCGGAACTGAATCAGTCTTGCAAGATGAGTAGAATTAACATTAATGCACTCGGGACATTTTCATAGTCCTCTGTCTAATTCCTCAGAAGCCAAAGAAGAGTTCTCATAATAGTGCCAGATGCAACCCAATTAAAAGTCCTCGTTTGTTTTACCCTTAGCGTTAAATATCTTCCAAAATCTCTACTCATCACTGCTCAACTAGATTTTCAAGGTAGGGCTAGTTTGTCTATTCTTTTGCACTGTCCTCCTGGTCACAGAGAGCCTTCGTAACGTTCGCTATAAAATAAAATAGCCTCGCGACCATAGGTATAACAACAGCCAACCTATTAGTCTGTTCGTTACGCCGCACACCAAAATATCCTTGACATAATATCCTTGTTCCTTATTTGAGCGCACACAGTACATAGCTGTTAGTACTGGGCTGCTTTAACTAAAAGTTCATAGGCTCCAATATCAGATGATCTTAAAACAGAAACCAAGAAACATCATGGAAACTAAGAGCGCCCGACGGAATACGGCTATTTTATCTAGCAGGTACTGAGTGTTCAATAAAAAATATGAGGGTTGCAACTTGTGGTCAGTGTCCTCTTCTTATTCTTCTTATAATTTACGCCGTTGACGGTCATGTTTATTCACAGTCTTCTGTCTCGTGTACTTTCAATTATTTCTGACACAAATTATCCTCTGTGCCATGATGCCAACTGTCTAACTTGTTCTTTTCTGGACTCCCCCTGCCTATTTTCCCCTTCAGCTTTTGGACGGTCACTGCTCAAATTTTCTCCTTTCTCTGATGTAATCAAAGAATGTCTATGTTTTTCTTCTGACGCATGTAATCAGTTCTCCTCGTGAGTTAATTTCGTTTCATATATTTTCATCTTCTTTTTGTCTGTCCGTGGTTGTTTCGTAATGAAACCACATCTTTGTAGCTTCCGTGTAATGTTTAACTAACTGGTTAACTATCCATGGATCTCTTCTGTACATCAGGATTGACTCTAAATGACTCGATAAGTAAGTAGATCTCCACAGGGTAGCATGTACAGCAGGGGTCCCTCGTCGATAATTGTTTCTGCTTGTTACTCGCAAGAAACTAAGGCGTAAAAAATTGACTCTTGATAAAGTAAGGGACCCTTTTCCCCGCCTTTAGGCGTATTGGGCATACATGGTTAGACCTACATTTTATAGACCATTCGGCGCTTGGTTGATGATGTGATCAGCATCACGTCGGCCGTCTTTACTTTCCAGGACTTTATCTGGTACCATCTGAAGGCTGGGTCAATTTGGCAGCCAAGGTCTTTTCTTCAAAAAGTTTGGCTCTGTCAGGACCCAAACCCAGACACTTCTAATCCGCTAGCGAGCGTCTAGCGGCTACACCACCGCGACTCTTGAAAACAAAGCATTAAATAAACTGTATCTTCCCTTGGGCACAAAGAACGTGGGTTTGGGGCCCCATTTTTCTCGGGGAAACACACAAATATAGACCCCGCACACATACCACACGCCTATCTTATCTCCAACAAACAAGACATGTCGTTGACACACAGAAGTCGACTAACTGGCGACTTCCTTGTTTAAAGTCGGCAGTCGAGTGCATGATCTGTCGGGGGGGGGAAGTGCAAAGGGACTACTAACTGCACACAACCATAAACCGTGTTAAACCTTAAACGATTTGTACAGCAACGGAAGCTGACTCTACACAAATTGCACTCACGCGAATGTAGTAAACACTGCCTCTGGCACAAAAGCCGAAGGCCAAATGGACACACGCAAACAATCAGGCTTTTCCGCCGGAGCTTACTGTCGGCATTCTGGAAACAACAGACACTCAGAAGAAGAAGAAACGAAATCGCACATTTCAGCGTTCACACACACACACACACACACACACACACACACACACACACACACACACACACACACACACACACACACACACGCACACACACACACACTTCGTCAAGTTCGCATTAATCTCAGAGATAAGACAGACATGATCTAATATTACCTTGCATTAGGGATAGAGAAGAAACGAGTCTAAAGGTTAGTTGCGTATCCTTTACAGGACGTTGCAGAACCAACCCCAATAGCCCCTGGTAGCTGTGTGGTTTTTCTAGGCAAATTTACGTCCAGTAGTTTGCCATTGTTTACTGAACGGTCCGCTTTCTTGATACCGCTGTCGAAACCAACGCAAGGCGCATGGCCCGCCGCTGGGATCGAACCCGGCATCCCGGCATTACGAAGCGTTCACATCGACTTAGCCACAGAGCCGACAAGAAACGAGCAGAGAATCAAAAGACAATTCTAAAAGGAAACATAAAAGGACCAGGGAGCTACGACAGCCAAAAGAAACCTTAAAACGAACTTTGACGAGAAAAGCAACGGGAGCTGGACTCTACAAAATCGAAAAGATTTTACAGGAGAGAACCGAATGTAGTAAAAGACTGCGAGCCCTGTGTGTCATAAAATGGCACAAGAGGACAATGATGAACGATTACGGAGTTGATGTATACAACTATTTTCCCTAGGTGCTATTATGCTGACCACAATGTCCATGTCAGTTCTGGAACCAACAGTACCTCTCTGGGTTATGGGGTTCATGCATGTGGAAAACTGGGAGCTAGGTGAGTATATAGACTAGTTTTCTTTTCTTCATTTGTCCAGCTTGAGAATGGAGGTGGAGGCAGTCACTGCAGCTTTCTGCTGGTCAGAGAACATGATGCACACACACACACAAACACACACACACACACACACACACACACACACACACACACACACATGTAACTGACTCAGAAAGCATGACGAAGAAGATCAGGACAGGTATGCTTCGTGCAGAGTGGCATGCTTCGCTGCTGAGGTTATGGGTGAGGAGCATTGTCTAGATCTTTTCTCTGAGTCATGCCGCTGTGTTGGGAAATGAGCAAGCGGACACATTGGCCCGCTCTGCACAACTTAGTTGAATATTTATGCCTGATAAGGCTGCTTTACGGTTGGTCAGGGCCTGTGTAGGAGAGCGTGCACAATTCGGAGGAACACATGGATCACCACAGTCTGGTGAGAGTGATGCAGCGGGGAGTGACAACGGGTTGTGGTCCATGCTCGGGCAAAAAGGGGTAAAGGTCCAGACAATATGTACTTCTCAGATGACATAACAATGACAACTAACAATGATTGCCTGGAAATGGCTAATGAAAGTAGGACATTATTTACAACGAAGGAGACTGTTCTTTGGTCTTGTGATGAGAAAAGGAGCACTAAAATTAATGTGACGACCGGAAAGATCACTGATAGAAGAGGCAGAGGCAGACTATGAGACATGATAGTGGCTAGCTTAAGACAGTGACATGAAGGAATATTATCAGTAGAATTGATCCAGAACACCAAAGACCGAAATCTGTGGAGATGCATGAACGCCAGCTGGCAAGGCACTTGAAGATTATGATGATGATAATATGATGATGATGATGATGATGATGATGATGATGGCATTTCCCTCAAATTACACGCACGAAATCATATGCTAGATAAATTAAACATAGTTGATGAGAGATCATAAAATTTTAACCTAGAAATGTATACATTAATAATGAGAATAAACCAGGCAAATAACAGTTAAAGTCTCTGTGATATCTTACTCCAAGATATGCAGTCTATTTAGGCGGTGATGTAGAATAAGACGCGGTTACTGACAGTAATGTTAAAATACAAATGGTAAGATCATAGCGCTGATGAATCTGTGGAAGTCGAGGTAAATGAAAACGAATTCTAAACTAAAGCACCTTGGTCCCGTTGTTAAATCAGGACAGCTGTATTTAGCTAAAACATGGAGAAATACTAAAATAATTATCACTGAGAGGCACACGATATTCAACTGATGCCTGCGCAGAATAAAGGGAATTAAATGGCACGATATAATCACTATTGTGGAGCTTTGGGAAAGAACTAAATAAATGCTAGTGATTCAGGAGGTGAAGAAAAAACTCTAGCCTTGGATAGCTGAGAAAAACTAGGCTGAGAAAACCTGAGAAAAATATAACGAATGTCTTTAGACTGGAATTCATAGGGGCATAGAAATAAAGGTATTCCAGAAAGATTAAGAGGACATGGGGTGAGTTTAATGCAATAGAATAAGATAGGATGACCTGGCTTGAGTTGGTAGAGCACCCTTGCTCCTTTCGGAAATCTCCTTCTTCTTTGCGTACACCGGTTTTAAACTCCTACGGAAAGTTTTGTTGTTCGTCCACTTCTAGACTCTAGTTCTGTTCTAGAAACTGACTGTTGCGTGCACATCTTTTTCACAGGTCTGATTGATCTGTATACAGACTGTTAGTTCCTTGCCTCTCAGACAGATGTACTCTGACTTTGAAGTAAGCTCCCATTTAGTCGACTTTTACTACATGCTTTTAGGCAGGCAGTGAGTATATTCTTATTTTTTTTCCCACAATGGGGCCCCGGAACTCAGAAGGGGACATTCGGAAATGAATGGCGAAAGAAGAAGTAGAAGGAAAAGAAAATCATAAAAACCATATATCTAATACACATCAAGAAGCGACAAAAGTATCTTGTCTCTAATTTTGCTTTTATTATGTTGCACTAAAATGTTTCCATCAACGATGTTTGCACCAAAATAAAGTAAATTTCAACAAATGTTTGTGTTTATATTTTCAGGTTTGATATTTTTACCAGACAGCGTTGGTTATTTCGTTGGCACTAACTGTTTTGGAGTAGTGGCTAGAAATATAGGAAGGTATGTCAGTCGAGGATTGCCTGTGGCTATTACCTTATTATTTTAGATAATCACCCATACTGATATTTATTTTTAACATATAATGTAGGACTACTGTGCTACTACTACTGCTGCTGCTACTACTACTACTACTGCTGCTGCTACTACTACTACTACCACTACTACTACTACTACTACTACTACTACTACTACTACTACTACTACTACTACTACTACTACTACTACTACTGCTGCTGCTGCTGCTGCTGCTGCTGCTACTACTACTACTAGTACTACACATAGGTCTCCGTGGCGAAGTGGCCAAGCCGTTTGCCTCGCTATCTGAAGGTCGTGGGTTTGTTTTACGGCTGCGCCCTTTGGTTCACGAGTGCAATTTTTACGGTGATCCCTGGGGATAGTCGCGGATCTACCGAGTTCGTGTTCTGTGCGGCGCTCTCGGCAGGCGGCTAGCCGGTCTGCAGAGAGAGAGAGAGAGAGAGAGAGAGAGAGAGAGAGAGAAGAGAGAGAGAGAGAGAGAGAGAGAGAGAGAGAGAGAGAGAGACCAAGCCATATAGTATAAAACGCAGTGCATTTAAGTCGATCCTCTCGACTTTAACTACTACTACTACTACTGCTGCGGCGGCTGCTGCAAATAACAGTAATATTATTATTTATAAAATAAGAACACAAATACATATATAGCAAAATGTCTCGTAAATTCAAATACTTTAGCTATATTAAAAGTTAGAGTGGATTACTAATGTAACATGATTTTTACGCGTGTTGGTTCCGGGCTCCATTGAGTGGGTAAAAAAATAAACCAACAAGCCCTTAATAGGCATTTAGTAAGAGGCGACTAATTAGGAACGTTCACTTCGAAGTTGGAGAGCTTCTGTCTGTGAGGTAAGGAACCAACAGTTCGTATACAAAAAAGCCAGATCTGCAAAACTAATGTGCACAAAAAACTCGGGTTCTGGAACAAGGCTTAGGTTTAGAAGTTGATGAACAACCAGAAATTCCAGAGCTTCAGTAGGCGAACGCGAAGAAGAAGATACGATTCTTGAAATGAAAAAGCAGAAACAGTGGTCAACGAACAAGAAGGAAAACGTCCGGCTTTTAAGAACCTTTGGAAATAAATTGCTGTTTCCATCAGCAGTTCTATTGATAGACTGTAAGTTATGGCAACATTCGCAAGCGGCCTTATGCATTTGATGAGTGTAAAAGCTGTGGGATATGTGCGGTGTTGTTTTTGTTTATTTTGTTTCACTGGTATAGAAAAGGAGCAATTATAGGGTGACCCGTTTGCGATGAATCTGGAATCCCAACTGATACCCTTAAGGATTGATATGAAAATGCACGCGACGAAGGGGCTGATAAAAATCTTTCTAGCAGAGAGATGTTTACAAAGTACATGCTACATTAAAAAGGTTGTGACGTATATCAACGGCTTGCAAAGCGAAACAGCAAAGTGTGTGGCACACATGAGGCGTGTTGGGACACGAAGGAAAACATAGCTGGCCATCGTGGAAAAGATTGGAACCTTACCACGTAGAACCCAAATACAGTAATGGAAGCACAAGTTAGAAAAAGCGATGCAGGCACATCTTGGCCCCCTGGAGTAATGCCTGTTGTAAATACAAACAGGGAAGAGACATTTCCTCTGTTGACTAGGGTAGAGCATAATGACGAGTGCGCCTTAAATTCTTCGGAAAGGGCACATTCTGACAACGCATATCTGAAAAGTAGAAAGAGATGTCTTCGCATTGGTACATGGAATGTTAGAACGTTATATCAAGTTGGAAAATTTGCTGAGGCAAAGAATATGAATTTAGATATTTTGGGAGTAGCAGAAACAAGATGGACAGAAGCTAGCTGCCTAAAGAGAGATGATTACATATTTATTAATTCTAGAGGAGAAAATCATGAACGTGGAGTAGGATTCTTGATAAAAAGAAATTTAGAGAAGTTTGTTAGCTTGTTCTGGGCTCACAATGACAGAATTATATTGATCAAGATCAAGGCAAGACCTTTTGGTATTGCAATAATACAGACATATGCACTAACAACTGACTACAGTGATGAACAGCTTCAAGAATATTATGAAGAACTACAACAAACACTGAAAGTTGTAAAATCACCAGAGGTCTTAATAGTTATGGGAGACCTGAATGCAAAAGTGGGGAAAAAGAAGCACAAACATATTGTAGGGCAATTTGGCATGGGATCAAGGAATGACAGAGAAGACAGATTGATACAGTTTTGCGAAGAGAACCAACTCATTATCTGTGAGACATTTTTTCAACATCCACCTAGAAAACTGTTTACGTGGAAGAGTCCAGGAGATATAAATAGAAACCAAATTGATTATGTAATGATTAGAGACAGATTCAAAAACAACATAAAGAACGTCAAAACATACCCAGGCGCGGATACAAATTCAGATCACAACCCTGTGGTAATAAAAATACAGATTAAACTTTAAAACGCAGGAATAAAAACGCAAAGGTCACCGCACATAGACAAATCAGCTTTGAAACAGCCAGAAATAAGCCAGCAGTACCTAGTTAAAAATAAATATGACAGATTAATAGTTGAAAGCATGGAACAATATCGACGGAAGAATCCAGAGGACAAAATTAATAGAAAATGGGAATGTTTCAAAACTAGTATAGAAACAGCTAATGCCATCTTGCCAGTGAAAGAAAACAAGCAAAATCAAGTATGGATGACTGAAGAAATTATTAACGAAATGACACAAAGGAAGAAAGCAAAAAACACTCCAGAATATTCATTAATAGACAAAGAAATACGAAATATGTGTAGAACTTCTAAGGAAACATGGATGCAGTTAAAATGCAAAGAAAAAGAGGATCTTGAAATAAAACACAGAACCAAGGAAATACATGCAAATATAAGAAAAATTACAAACAAGGAAAAAAATTTAACAGGAAATGGTTGTATTAGGGGGAAGGATGGAAAAATTATTGTTGATAAGAAAGATATAATAAAACGATGGACTGAATACACAGAAGACCTGTTTTGGGACAAGAGAGATGACAAACCGCCAATCCATAATATTTAAGAGGGACCAAACATATTAAAGTCTGAAGTAGAGAAAGCCATTAAACAGATGAAGCAGGGAAAAGCTGCAGGTCCAGACAACATAACTGCAGAAATGTTAAAATCATTATCTACTTTTGGAATTGATACTATCACAGAAATATGCAATGACACTTATAACTATGTGTACATTCCCAGGGACATGAAAACATCTGTTTTTATCACACTACCCAAGAAATCACAAGCTGTTGATTGTGAAGATTACAGAACTATTAGCCTAATGAGTCACGTAACTAAGTTACTCTTGAAGATAATACAAACAAGAATTCAAGATAAAATAGAGAAAGAAGTTTCTAAAGAGCAATTTGGATTCCGTAAAAACAGTGGTACTCGAGAAGCCATAATTTGTCTAAAGATGCTGACTGAAAAATATATAGAAGTTCAGAAAAATATTTATGCATGTTTTATAGATTACAGAAAAAGCTTTCGACAGACTGCAACATGAACAACTAATTGCAGCTCTTCAAAACATAGGACTAGATGGAAATGATATCAGACTTATTAGAAACTTATACTGGGAGCAAGAAGCAACAGTAAGATATGACAACATCTGCTCACCCCAGATAGAGATCAAGAGAGGAGTAAGACAAGGATGTGTACTGTCGCCTAGCCTTTTTAATTTATGTACAGAAACCATTTTTAAAGAAATTGTAAAATTACCAGGACTGTACGCACATCAATGGTAGAATAATAAACAATCTGAGATATGCTGACGACACAGTGTTGCTAGCAGAGAGTGAGCAGGAGTTGCAAGACCTTGTGGAGCAAGTAAACTGAAAGAGTGCAGAATTTTGATTAGATATATATTTGAAAAAGACAAAAACCATGATATTTAGCAAAGAAAATAATCAGCTAACAGTGAATATCACAGTGAACAGGATGAAATTGGAACAAGTTAGAAATTTCTTATATCTTGGACAAGTACTAACATGTAACGGCAGAAGTGAAACAGAAGTCAAGAAAAGAATAGGGATGGCCAAAAACATTTTCAACAACATGCAAAAGTTACTGACATTAAGAGAAATAAGCAATACATTAAAAATGAGAATTGTCAAATGTTATGTATTCTCAACCTTACTGTATGGCACAGAGACATGGACAATGAACAAACAACTGGAAAATCGTATCAATTCTTTGGAGATTTGGATATACAGAAGATTAGGTTGTGTTTCATGGAAACAAAAGCTATCAAATACAGAGGTACTGAGAAAATTGGAAATGAAAAGAGAGTTGCCTAGGGAAATAAACAAGAGACAAGTGAAATATTTAAGCCACATTAAAAGACATAACAGTATTGTAAAGATCATCCTAGAGGGAAAGGTTCAAGGTAGTCGAGCAAAAGGCAGACAGCGTTACAAGTGGGAGGATAACATCAAGAGATGGATGAACAGCAGTATGAGTGAGTGTACATCAAGGGCAAGAGACAGGGCTTGTTGGAGATCCATTGCAGCCAACCTTCATTGTGAAGACGGCACCTGAATGATTGATTGACGTTTATTATAAATTTTGTGACGTTTTTTTTTTTTTCACAGAGCGATGTGCACACTCTGTTGCATGCTGATGATTGCCCTGTGTCAGATTTGTGTAAGTTTAAATATTTTATCATTGACCAACAATCTATTTTACAAGAAAGTTAAATTCATTCATTACCGAATAATTACAATATCTAGTACTGTTTTAGTGTTAAGAAAAACACAGTCAGTATTTTACAGAAATTTAAGTTGTAAAGGAAGTCGTCAGCTCCTTTGGAATAGACGGAATCTGGAAGATTAAACACATTTGATCTTTTGGCCAGGTGGTAAACTAAATCTTTTGCTCTCTTACGGTCGAGGAAGCTTTTCAGTGACAACCTACATATTTTATAAATGACGATTCACATTGATCTTGCTACATAGGAAGTAGCTGCACCCGGTCGTTCATCCAGGTACTTATCACTTCTTTAGAAGGGGGAGCATGAGAAGAAGCTAAATCAACAGCCGAAGTTCAACAAAAACAAATCATCGAAGGTCTTGGACTGTGTCCAGAACTGATGCAGCCCACATTCCCTGCTCATAGTGCTCCGAAACATGCCATGCCAAGATTTGGCTTTTCCAGCTGTCAGTGCACCGATAAATCCCATTCTACTGCAAGAGGATAAGTCATCGGCGAATGAGTCGCCTACTGGCTGGGTGGTGGACGACGTCGCCGACGTTTGGGACAGTATTTGGATCTGTCTCCTTCGATCTCATCAACACCCCAAGAGACCTCTTCAGTGTTACTTGGTGGCGAGCAATGCAAAGCCATTTTATTTGGCGCAAAAATCATAGTCACAATTATAACCTAAACTAAATCTCCTTTTGGGATGCTGGTTGAACGTGACGAATTGGTTTTCTCCCGCAAAGCGTGCCAAGCCAAATCAGAGGATAAGAGCACTTATTATCCTCATCATCATCATTTGAAATGTACGAACAACAAAATTGAATAATTTAAAAAAAATCAACAATTATGGCATTTGGCAACTGTTTCTTTATTTTCTTTTCTTCCTTATCATTGGTCATCAGCTATAGTCATGTTTTCGGAGTTTTGTCTGTCGTCTTCTACAAACAATGCCCATAATTTTGACATAAGGAGATCACTTTTTTTTTCGTCTACAGCTTCCATTTGCTACAGACGTCCCCCAGTTAATACTACCCCACTTTGGACTTGGCTTAGGTTTAGGTAAGTATTAGCCGCAGATACAGAAACTAATGTCTAAAACATCTGTTGTGCTGTCTAACTCTACTGTCTATTTGATGTATGCTTGCATATCTGTTTAACCAGACATCGAGGAGTTAAAGTAAACATTTTGTTTTCTTTAAAGTGAGATAAAATAGGGGTTTAGTAATTAGATCTAGGGGACAGTGCAGGCATAGACTACTCTTCATTTTGAAATTTCACACGCAGTCTTGGCTTGGCTTGCTTTGTGGGAAAACAAATCGTCGTTCAACCAGCATCCCCCGAAAAAGGGTGCTTTTGGTTATAATTGTGACTAGGTTTATGTGCGCCATATAAAATGGCTTAGCATTGCGCGCCACCAAGTAGCTCTGAAAAGAACTCATGCAGTGTTGATGCGATCAAATGAGAGAGACCCAAATACTGTCCACGACGGTTGCAAAGTAGCCTGTAGTCTAATTGTGTTGGGTTATAGACCAGTCAAGTGTTGATTTGTCTATACAAATATGCAGTGTAGCGTCATATGCTTGACGTGCCAGTGGCATTAAAAGGATTTTATTTTGGTTCGGTTTGCTTTGCAAAAAAAAAAAAAAAAAATCAATACAAACCAGCCTTCCCGAAGGGGGAGATTGAGGCTATAATTGTGACTAGATTATGTGCGCCATATAAAATGGCTTAGCATTGCTCGCCACCAAGTAGCTCTGAAAAGAACTCATGCAGTGTTGATGCGATCCAATGAGAGAGACCCAAATACTGTCCCGACTAACGACGAAGTCGTCTACTGGCCAACCAAAGGGCGACCTGGTCGCCGAAGAAGGATCTGTTACTTAACTTGTACATTCGACAGGTATCACGGACGCAGCTATCATGCCGCTTCTGGCTCTGCTGGTGGACGTCAGGCACGAACCTTTCTACGGATGTGTCTATGCCATAGCTCAGCTGGCTGTGTGTTTGGCGTACTCTATAGGTGTGTACGATTTTCGTTTTTGTTGTTGGTATGTTTAGAAAACCATAGCCTTAAATTGGTACCTGTAATTTTGTTGTGGGAAGTAACGGCTGTAAATGGAATGTTACTAAATCACACATATCATTGGTCAGGCACACATTTTGGTTTGGAACCATATGTCCAGTGCGAAAGTGTTGTGAGGAGGGTTCTGTATGGTTGACACCCTTGCGAAAATGAAACCGTCGGCTTGTTGTATTCCATAATTGTGTGTAGTATTTTAATTTGTACCCTATTAATATGAACAAGCTACACAGAAATCAAACCTATAACAGATGTTATGAGCATGTTTTTGTTCAGCCCCAATATAACATCACTTTATATAGTCGTCCCCATGTGGGATGCAATTTTTCGTTATTTAAAGCCCCACCCTGGCTTTTGCCGAGGGCCCTAAATATAGCCGGGCCATAAATTTAGCCTAACGGCTGAACGGTGTTTATGTGACCTCTTCACAGGTGATCCTCATCCACATGGTGGCACTTTATGTCACCGGGAGTTTATCGCTTTTTGTGATGTCCTGGTGGGATCTAACTTACCTACATACCTAAACATTAACGGGCATTTTTATTTTTAAAAGATTAACATTATATATATATATATATAATATATATATATATATATATATATATATATATATATATATACACACACACACACACACACATACATTTAAAAGAAGAAGTCTGAGAAAAAGACTACGAGAAAAAATAAGAAAAGGAAAAACAATATGTGATACCCTATAAGGCAATATCTTTGACCGCAACGAATAAGATAAATCAATGATGAATACAAAGAATGAAGACAACTTCGACGAAGACGAGGAAGATGAAACGGCAATGGCTGTGAAGACAAACAAGATGAATACGAAGATAGAGAAGACGAGGATGGTAATGACTGGGACGATAAAGACGAGGACGACAATGACAGAGACGACGAAGACGAAGAAGACAGGAAGATGATGACTGAGACGACAAAGACGAGGACGACAAAGACAGGGACGACAAAGACGACGAAGACAGAAAGATAATGACTGAGACGACAAAGACGAGGACGACAATGACAGAGACGACAAAGACGAGGAAGATAATGACTGAGACGACGAAGACGACTATCACTGAAACAACTAAGACGAAGAGAAGACAGCAACGATAATCATGTCTAATACACTGAAGCTGAAAAAGAACAAAACGAAAGAGAGATTAGGACGAAGAATAATTTTAAATAAACGTACATGTTGATAAATGCACCAGCCTTTTCAGTTAACCCAAAATTGTGTCAGCATGAGAGATGATCGACTTCAGTGCACGCGATTTTATACCTCATGGCTCTAGCTCTCTCCACGGAGCGACTGGTCACCTGAAAGAGCAAAAATATTCCGTAGCTTCAGCAGCTACTTCCAGGATCTCCAGAACGCAGACATTGCCGAAATAAAGGACAGAGTCCGAAATCTAACAACAAATTTCAGAGTAGGAGGGGAACATTCCCACCCCCCCCCCCCCCCCCCCACAGAAAAAAAAATCTCATAAAAATGACTAGAGGTAAAGTAGACTTAATCTGTAGTAAAAATGTTAGTGTCCCTGATTACTGATTTAATAATCGACATCATAGCTCACCAGACATATCCATAGAGGCTTCGTCTCCCGATGCAAATGTCTTAAGGTGTAGATGCCGTTCTCTTCCTCTCATAGGCCCGTTCTTGGCGGATCCACGCATAATTCTTCTTCGTTCACACATTCTTATACATGTTATTTTATCTGACTTGATTTCTTCTATTGACATCCAAAAGGGTGTAGGCTTACCATTTGTTCTTTGTTTTTGAGGGGGGGGGGGGGGGGGGGGGGGACCTCTACACTAGGACTCCGGAACCAACATGGGGAGTACCTTTGAAGGCCCTACTATAACTGCTATGCAAATTAACGGGATTTCTGGGATTTCTACATGTAAGGTTCTCATCCCCGAGGTGTTAATTATACGAACTGCAGTTCTGGAGAGTACAAACTACTTAGCTACCTTTTCTGTGCCAATTTTAATAGCTAAGTTTTCCTGCCTGATACAGTGAAGTTGGAAAGAGACGTACCCATGCTCTGTCACAAGCATGCCGTATAGTGTGTGTGTTGAAGGAAGAAATTGGAAATACAAATTGCACAGATCACACAAGATCAGTGAAAAGTGTCTTTAGTTCTTAATTTATTTTAAAATACTAACACCATTGATCAATACATTGAACAGGCCCATCTGTAGCAGGACAGATTGTGAAAGCAGTTGGATTCCCATGGTAAATATCTTTTTCAAATTAAAGTTGTGGAAAGACGCATCTGAAATTGTTTCCTTATGTTATTGCTTTTCTTATATTTTGTCTTATTCTTCATCTTATATGTAATCATTCTTATCATGTTTGTTTGTTTGTTTGTTTTAGTATCCAGAAGCCATGAGTTGTTAACCCTTAGGCTCGGTATTATGAATATCGCAACCTTGTACCATTGTAAATACCGTAAATCTGGGAGAAATTTGGCTTTTCTGCCTACCCCCGGGAGCGAACCCGGACCACAAGGTGTTCGTCACCCGGTCACCACGCAATCCGGTTTAGCCAACTACGCTAGAGAGCCGGGCACTCATCCCTATCACAACTACCTCTTTACCAATACCACCAGCACTAAAATTATCTTCGTCGTTTTTATTTGCTTTTGCTGTATTGTATGTTCTTGTGCCCCCCCCCCCCCCTCTTCCCACCCCCCCCCACCTCCGTTCTCTTCACCATCATCCTCATTTTTATCATCACCTCCCACTTGTGCTGACATAATGCTTGCTGTCTAGTCTTCTTCTTCTTTTTCATCTTCTTCTTCTTCTTCTTCTTCTTCTTCTTCTTCTTCTTCTTCTTCTTCTTCTTCTT